GCGGCAGTAGTAATATCTTTAATGTACGGTTATCTACAGACTATATAGATTATAGATATATAATATAGATTATAGATAGGTACTGTAAGTCAATGAAATTTTTACTTTTATGCAGTTATTTTATCTATATTTCTTTTAATTACGTAGACATGAATGATACGATGACACGATGTAATATTATAATTTATAACTATAATAACAACAGAATATTGTAGATTTCTATTTTAATTTATCTTTATATTCTACATTACGATAAGAGCAAAATTAAAAAGGGCCCGACTGTGGTAATCGGGGGCCTGGATCATAAATACGAATGGGGGCCCGGGGTGCTACTTGGTGTATAGCACCCTGGCCCAGTCCGTCCCTGCATATTAAATAACCAAGAATAACGATTTTAGTTATTTTGTTGTAATTGTATAATAATATTTAAACTTAGGTACCTTCTTCCGTATTAATAATAATTAATAAATAATAACTAATAACAATATAAACATAATACAAAATATCCACACTGACAAACCGTCTCCTCTCAGAATCTTTTTTCTATGGAGTAGCTACTGCTGCCGCGTGTCGTCACAACAGCCGCCGAGCCGCCTATAAGCCCTGCTATAAATATATACCTAAAGTAATAAGTAATATAGTATTAGGCATTAGCCACTAGTAGGTGCAATGTAGGTACTAAGTACTTATAAGTTATAGCCTATAGGTATGGTTAATATTTACAATTTAATTAATATGTATTACCTATACTAATATTTAATTCCAAAAATAGTTATTAAAATATGAGACAAATGCATTTTAAGACGCCCCTCACGAATTTCAACATTTTTTTAAGACGTTTTCAAAGCCGAGTTTGAAATTGTTTGCATTTTTTTTACTGAAACCGTTATTAGAAGTTCTGACAAAAAATCTTCAAACCTAAGGTTTAAGATAAATTACATTTTCCAGGAGATATTAATTTATAATTAATTTATTTATTTAAAATTATAAATTATTTAAAATTCTAAGCAGTAACTGGTGTAAAATGTATCATCCATAAATGGGTTGCCAGATTTTAAAATCACCAAACCGGGACATCATATTGATAACCTTTTTTTTTTATTATTCTTAATTTTTTCATAAAATTCATTACAAGTTAAACCAAAATTCATTTTACATACCATTAGACCTCGTACAGTATTTTCATACCTCCTTGCCCTTTCGTCTGACTAACCTACCAATAAAATATATAATGTATTTATTATTTATTGACTCTAGGTAGGTAGGTAATTAAATTAAATATATAAAATATTGAATACCTATCCACTTAAAATTATTGTATTTATAAAATTATGGTGTAAACGCAGCGTTTTCCGTCACCACTCACCAGTATAGCCCATCTTAATTTAAAACAATGTAAAATTAGGAGTTTGCGTTTTTATTACTTCGGCGTTCGTCCGCCAAAACGCGGCGTATTACACCCGTCGTGTATAGCTGCTCCGATTTAAACCAAATACGTTTTTAATTCGACGGAAAACGATGCGGAATACGTGGCGTTCGAAACGCGGCGGAACACGCCGTGTATAGCCCCGGCCTAAGCGTTTTCTAATGATTTCGCCGGTTTCTAATGATTGTGTACAATAAAAATATTCTGGGAATTTTCTAATTCTACATAACACGTTATTCTCGCCGACCCATCATTTATTATTAAATATGCAATATTCAATATATTTTCTCTCGGCTTCCATTAACCGGAACAAAATTAATGACCGGCCGGGACACCGGGACATGCTATTAAAACCGGGACTGTCCTGGTCAAACCGGGACGAATGGCAAGCCTCAGATCATAATATATTAGTATAAATTGGCTTCTTACTTTTTTTTCCACATTTTTCGTAATTGTAATAATTTTTTTTAAATTAATAATTTATTTACACAATATAATATTATAAAATCATAAAATTGAGAGGTAAATATAATTTATGTCTATAAAGCTACTCATTTAATTGTAGTATAATAAAAGTTTGATATTCATATTTCATTAATTTAAATTCAAATTTTCATAATAACTTTTAAATTTATTCACAGTATACTCATTTAGGTACAACAAATATCAAACAAAAAACATTTTATCAAATACATTTTTTTTCTTGCTTTACTTGAAGGCAACTCTTTTAGTACTTCATCTAAGTCTATTGATTTTAACAAATCATTCTCAGAATATAAAATAATTTGTATGTCTAAGTTTTCTTGGGTTTGACTGGTTATAGGTATAGATACTTATTTTTTACTCTAGTTAATTGAGAAAAAGCTCTCTCCGTATATAAATAACGTTATTGATGATATTATTGATATAATTGAAAATATTAAATAACAGTAAAATGTATCTTTTCTACCACATAGTGCTTTCGTAGGTATTTAATATCTAGTTGTTTTTGTCAATAAAAAAAAATGGTTTTTAAAATATAGAAAAACTTTTCTTTAAAATCACTAAAAAATGTGTATTCGCTTAAAATTGTTTGGGCCCCTTTCATTTTGGTACTTGAGAGGGCCCCTGGTCTTCCCCCCAGGCTAGACCCCCCCCTTAATCCAGCCTTGAATCTAAGAAATTTTTACAATTATACAAAAATATGTAAATACAAAACCAATGTGAATTAGCTAGATGAATAGTTGCTTTTAATTAGTGATTTCAAGTAAAAAATGTTGTTATAACTTGTGTTATTTCGTTAGGTACCAACTACCAGGTACCTAATACCTATACTTACACATTAGTTGGTACTATAGATGAAATTGAATTGTTAAAATAAATGTTTTGACACATTGAATGCGTGTGGCGTCCAATATACATTTGAAATAATTGGTTTATAATTACCTACGCGTGCCTGAATGTTATTTTATTATTATTTAGAGTGGATTAATTAAACGCATGTTTTTAAATATGTATAAATACGTCGGTAAGAGCAGTTTCTTTATTTTTTTTTAGAAGACTTTTGGTTTTACTTTTATACTACGCACTGGGTGAAAAATGCAATAAGACATACACAGACACACAGTCAATGTGAACGAATACCTACATTGTGTGTTAAGTGTTAACATCAAATTTCCATAGGCGTTTACGCTTTCTAATGTTAATACGTTGTTTAAGATATTTTTACCTAGGCACATGTTCACACCTGCTGATTACTTTAGTTTGCGTTTAATTAAAAAATTACGTTCGTATCCAAATAAATAAATTAATCTTTTATACCTTGCAAATATGCACCTAATGTAAAACATTTTAGGTTCTGAGTGGAATGATGAATGTATTAATTATAGTTTTTTTCTAAAAATATCAATAACATTTTATTTGTTAGTTAAAAAAGCTTGAAAATTTATTACAAGACTCCTACTATATTGTTACAATGGCATTTGAAAAACATTAAAAATCCTTAGCCACAATTTTTTTTATAAGCATTTAAGGTTCAAAAATTGACAAAATATGGAAAAATCACGAAAACAAGCAAATTATTTTGAGTTAAGAATTCGTAAAAATTTTTCTTTTTAAATCTAAGGGTTTAAAATGTAATAGGTACAAGATTCCTTATAAGATTGTCTACCTTTATCAAAAAAAAAAAAAAAATGTCTATAAGAAAGCCGAATTAAATTTTTATGAGCTATTGAAATTCAAATTTTTACAACGTTGGATATTCACTCGATTTCTCATGTAGGGATTTCCTTATTTTGTTGTAATTCAAAAACGAATAACTGTAAATACATGAAAATTTCACTGAATGTTCATATTAGCATTTCCTATACACTGTACAATTTTGAAAATATTTTGACTCTTTTTGAGCTGTTTACGGACATTTTCAGTTTTCAATTTTTTTAGTTTTTTTTCTATAAATATCAATAAAATTTTATCAAGCAATTGAAAAATATTAAAAATACATAGGCACAATTTTTTTTTATAAGCATTTAAAGATCGAATTTTGACAAAATTTATCAAAATCTCGAAAATTATCAATCATTGTAATTAATAAACTATAAAATGTTCAGTTTTTATAGCTAAGGATTGCAAATTTAAAACAAAGGTTCTCATAAATAGGTAGTTCATACTGTAACCAAAAAATCTAAAAAATATATGAATACAGTTATTTTTTACAGACATTTTAAATTCAAATTTGGACGAAATTACATATTTAAATCAATATTAACGATCTTGGTTTTTTGTTGTTATTTAAAAATATTATTCGGGGATATATGAAACTGAAAAATCAAAATATTATGGCCTATCCATACAATCTACCATAGTATAATGAATAAGAAATATGCTCTATGATAATACTGTGCATATTTTTTTTTTATTACCATTGTTATGTATATAATTTGTCTTAAACCTAGACTGACATACCGTCTCCGCTCAGAATCGTTTTTCTCATACAATGATATTATATCATTGAATTCAAATTTATACAGAGACCCACTTGTAACCTACTGTAAAGGAGAGCACCTTTTTGTTTAATTAATTTCTATCAAATCCTTATTTAAGAAAAATGGCGCTTAAGTTGTTTTTTGTCTATTCTTCATTATTAGTTAAATATTTATTCTACGAACTTAATTTAAACAAATGTGTAAGCTAAGTAGGTGTATAGGTAACTAACTAGTTGGATATACAATTTGTATCTTTGCCACGAAAAATCTACTAGGAAGAATACTGAGGGGATACCCGGGTACATAGGAGGAAAAAGGGCAGGGAAGACTACCACTCATTACTCAAATGTGGAGTAGTTTGAAAAACGGAAAATTGATGTCACTCAGGCACTAGCCCCTGAGCTGTTAACTCAAAAAAGAAAGGGATGCATTAGGAAATGAGAAGTATAATATTATGTACATGCGCGACTATATGCGAGTATGCAAAAAAAATATATTGTTATTTTCGACTTTATTCTACGAAAATAAATTAATAAATAACAAAGACAAAAATTAATTATTTTCTGTTTACAAAAATATTAATTGATTTTCAAATATAAATTATAATGATATTAAAAAGCATCTTTTATGTTTTGTAGTTGTCGGATAGCTAAATCTGCTGGTAGATCAAAATTATATTGATTCAATTTTTCCAGTGAACGCAATGCATCGTCGAAACCTGAAATTAAATTAATTGTTGATATATGCAATAACTAATAAGTAATACTAATAATGTAATATCATATTCGTGGGATAAATGGTAGGTATAGGATATTATACGACATATCCGCCTCCTGAAATCGATCTTTTCGAGAAAAGTTGTCCATTTCAATTGATATTAATTCATGAAATAGAAACGTTTTTTATACACTTCGTGAAATATGAAAATATTTTAACACATTGTACTGACTACTGCATGCCTATATAATCCCCCCTACCCAGCCCCCGTTTAAATACGATTTATTAACATTTTTGTATGTAGATTTAATATTATATTTGAATTAGGGGAACGAGGTGGCCGAGCGACTTTACGCGTCGGCTGCGGCGCTGGCAGTCGCGGGTTCGATTCTCGGCCACCGGGCGGCATTTTTCTCCGGGCAAGTCACGGTGTCCGGAAAACAAGTGCCACCATCCCCCACTCCGGGGCATGGCAGAAACTTACGGGTGCCCCATTCGAAATTCTGCCAAAAATACACCCACGTGTAACACACCTACCGTTCCAAAAAAAAAAACCTACAGTACCAACCCCCCTCCCAATGGCCTAAGTTGTCGTGGGATAATTAATAATAAAAAAAAAAAAAGATATGAATTAATGTCTAAATAGATAGTTATAATTAATACTAAATAATACAATCTTATGTAACTTAGCTGATTTTTAAATAAAAATAAATTATACATAGGTAGGTATAAATATATAACTTTGTGTATACTTTAAAATTTAAATAGGTTTCTATGTACTTACTATTGTTACTAATAATAATAATTATGTGTGGTAAATATTTTATTTCCCAAAGTATAAATGAAAAGCTTGTAAAAAAAAAATGACACTATATAGAACTTCGCTAGACTAAACCGGTGTGAAAAATAATGCACCGGGATGTTTGGACCATATCATTTACATGGTTCATTATCCCGGTGCGGGATAATGTGGTATAATTTTGAACCGGTCTAGTTTAGCGAATTTCTAGTAGGTATGTCAAATTGAAGTGACCATTTCATGGAAAAGTGACAGATTATATTTTCGTGAAAAAGACATATTTATTTCATGAAATCCTTCTTCAAAGCTTAGAAAAATAAATATTAATTCACACCGAGTTTTGTGAAGAACATTACAAAAACTAACTTAACGAAGATAATATTATATCGTTACTAACTGTTTGTCATATTTATTTTTCACTTTTAAAAGTGATTCTAATTTTTTTTTCTACTATAAATTTAAAAAAAAAAATCTTTTTTAGTATATTTTACATGAGAGACGGATAACAAAAGTCAAAACATAGTATGGGTAACGTATTCTTAATAATATCAAATATATTTGTCAATGAAGTAAAAAATAAATCAAACCTGTTTGCGCCACATAACTCCAAGGTTGATAGTAAAGTTCGACCAATGGTTGACATTTGAATATAAATTTTAACCAACTGACAAACATTTTTGAACTGAAAAATTAAATTATTATTAAAATATATTGTAGAGAAGTTATGGTTTGCACATCGCAGACAACCAAATGTGCTACTAATAATAGTTTTAACAATACATTTTAATAACAGATACCCGGTGTTAAAATGTATGTAACTTACTTCAGTCCAGCGCACACGAATGCTTTAAAGCACGAACCGTAACTTCTTTTATATCGGGAATGAGATGTTATTATATTTCCAATAATAGACAGTAGACACTGTAATAACAAAAAAATGGTCGGTTGTAAAAAAATAAATAAATACTAAATTCATAAAAAAATTGTCATGTGAGTAATTACTTGTTTATAAGAAACTGACGATTTACAGCCTTCAATGTCTAAATTGAAACTCTGAGATAGTTTACGGGCAGGTGTCGAGTTGAAGTAATCACCGTTTTTGATCTCATAGTATTTTAATATAAGCTCCCATGCATGCATTGATGATTTTGAGTTGTTCATCTTTGGATGCAAACAGTCCACAAATGGTACGACACTCGTACTTTGACCAACCTGAGTAGTGCATAATATTAATATTTATATATTTTACTGTTACGGACTTAGAAATGTTTGGTATCGACTGGGTACCTATAGGCTATAGGACGTATTTAAGGCATATTTAATACCTATATTAATGTCTATAGTGATGTGAATCTTAACACTTAAATATAATAACACATAATTTGTAATAAATCTTATATTGTAGGTATAGGTTATAAACCTAGTTGAGGTTATCGTCAAAGTAAAAATAAGCAACTCAGTTCTAGTAGGTAATAAAAAGAGATTATTATTAAAATGCAATATTTCTACAGGATCGATGCCTAGTTCAAAATAATGGTGTATTTAAGGATGTCGTCAACGTTTGGATTATGTGCTTTTGGATGATTAAGTGGAGAGAAGCATCCAGTATTATGTGTGACCGTTGGCATTTTATAAAATCTTTTTAAATTTGGTAATCAAAACATGTGAGGGACCTTAAATTAAATGTTCAAGTTTTTGTTTAGTTAAAAATAAAAAATATGGTATCACACATAAATGAAAAAAAAAATTTAATAGCACAAAAAAGCCATAACATTTTTAAAATGCTTATGTGAAAATTTCGTAAAAGTTCAAGTCTCTATATACAGTCATTTAAATTGAAATATTAAATTAATCCAGATTTTTTTTTATGTTTTTCCATTATTTTAAAAAGTACTGAGAATTTTCATTTTTTACTTTTGACTACTTAGCTTTTAATGTTCCGACTATAATAACAAGATTCAATTTTCTACCAGAAACCATAATCAAAGGTGAAGATCCAGGACTTTTATTTTATTTTAAATCATGTACAAATTACACAAACACAATAAAATTGATGATTTATGAATTATAATTAATGATTTTTTAAAGTTTAACTTTACCACCATGAGGCCATGTTGAATCAAATGTTGAATGGCTGGAGCTAATCGATTCCGAACCATTAAAGCTATTTTTCCGTTGCATTCCATTGCAGCTATGGCGCCTTCGGAGTCTGACATGTAATCACTATCAACATGAACTTCAGGTAAAGCGAGCATTTCCAATAGTTCTGCAACAACCAACTCCAAGTTGGCTCTGTAATCACTGTAAAAACATCATGTTAATGTTAATGTTTGTATTTTTACAGCCTTGTTGTTCACGCTATTTACTCAATAAGCAAATTTTTTGACATATAAAAAAAATCTAAAAAAATTGTGAATGTATTTTAAATATTATTTAACTGTCATTTCCAATTGTAACAATATATTATTGCTAATATTAGGAGCCTTGTATTAAATTGTCAAGCTTTTTGACCCAACGAATAAAATTAATAATTAATAAAAATTAATGACTCTAAAACGACTGTAATAACTAATGACTTGATGTCTGTAGGTCAGTCAAAAAAAGACAATTGGGGGGATATAACCCCTAACTCCCCGCTGAGCACGCAACTGGCACTCTTCAAAATGTTTTACAATTATGGCATTGTGTGTACTCTGCCAGATTTTAAGACGTCGTAATGCTGAAATGGATCTATCCATGGTGAAATGATTAACAGCTAAAATCATTGAAACAATAAATTACTATGAACACGATACACGTCAAACATAACAATAAAAATATATCTACCTACTTCGAATTAGAGAACCTGAAAGTCACTACATATCGGAAAACCACGTACTATTACTGGCGTAGTACACGAAAATATAAGATAACGACTAAAGATAATTTGCAATTAAACCAATATCGAGTAGGTATACTAATATAATATAATATTAGGTACCTACCGTAATAAAAAAAAACGTACATTACCACATATTATATTAAATTGTAAATAATATAGTAGGTACCCTATTCACCTTTTTTTGGAATTTGGGGGGGAATTTCCTCTGAGCCCCCTAAAAACGCCATTGTGTCTATTATATATAGGTGCACGTAATGTGTAGACTTACCCCCAGTGATTTATTTTCATTGATTTCTTCAGTGTATTCATTTTGAAATGTCGTTGAGTGCATGATATTTGAGTACCGATGAACATTTGTATTATTGCAGTTAACCGTCTAACAGCACCCACAGTTTTCTGTAAATGTGCGAAATATTAAAAAATATTAATGTACTTATTATGAATAAAAGATATACACAGATTAAATTAACATAATATTTAAAGCATATAATATATATTTTTCAACACCAACACTATATGGAGGTTGCTTATAGTTTAATAAGTTATTTAGTAGGTATTCAGTATTCATAAATCAAAATAAAGTTCATAATATATTTAAAAATGTATTATAGTAGGTATCTATTATTACTATATCATTATTGTTACCTATACCTCTATTGTAGTAATTTAAATTTAAAAATTATTTTTTTTTGTGTGTGTTGTCATGTTTTGGAGCAATCAAAAATGCTTACATTTTGAGGGTTATAGGTAAAAAGTTTTCCAAAAAGCTTTCCCAATATTTTAAAATTAGCATTTTTGAGATATAATATAATTTAAAAAATAATTTGGCTCCTTTTGAGTTATTTGTACTTTATAGACATTTGAATTCTTCAAATTGTTTTATAAATGTTGATATTATTTATTTCCAGGTTGAACAGCTTGGAAATATTATGTAAGGGTCGTAATCAGTAAAGTTGTTCTTGTAAAATAGTAATTTTAAAATATCGAAAATATACCTATTCACATATTTTTCTATAGATACAATTTCTAATTCCGTTAATATTGAATGTTTAAACAAAAAATAAAATGTCTACGTCTAACAATATTTCGGTTATTTCTGTCTTATTACTTATTAGTTATTACTTGATATATTGTAATTCAAAAAATATTTATTTTTGGGTCTTAAAACTTTCCACCAATTAAACGTATTATTACTGTTTATACATAATGCAATTGTAGGCTATGTTTTATATTACTATTATTATTTAAAAATTCTAACTGACTCAAGAAAACACTTCTTTTTAACGAAATTGAATGCATGTTACGCATTGAAACTGCTAAAAAATAATAATTTAATACGATCCGTTGTAAGTTAAAGAAATTATTGATTTTAAATATCATTTAACGTTATCCTATTTTATTTATCTTAAGATACATTTTTACATTTTTCTGTCTATTATCTAAGTTATAATATTACTCTGTTTTAGGTTTCTAAACATAATATGTTCAGAACACCTTATAATATCCCCTGTTGTGTCCGTCCCTCCGTCCGATAGTTACCGGCACTTACTACCCACTTATATAGTTACGATTGTTTATACTAAAATGGAATAAGTGCGGTTCTATTCTAAGTAAAATCATAAATCATATTTTATATTAGTATTAAAAGAACAAAGATAGGTACAAAAATATGAAGGTTAGGTACCAAATAATTATTTTCAAATTGTATAATATTAAATTATAGTTTATTGCGTTGTATTAAAATGCATTTAGAGACCGGAAATTTAGCACGCTCGTAGAGTGTCAACATATTGAGCTTTCCTAACTTGTTCATATTTATAAATGTGTTATATGTTGAATCCTATTGGTTGTAATTTATTTTGTGTAGTAAACATATGTTTGTAATTAACACAGTTTAGCTTTCGGGATTTAAATAGGTATTTACCTATTTGAATTCTGAGTAGTTTTTTAATATATAAAAAATTAATAGGCAGTCTATAATATTTTACCTACTTAATGGAATTGTGTATAATACGAAATAAGAATAAACTACAATCGGTCTCAGTTACAAATTTGACAACTAGTTATCTGAGATGACGAGTAAGCTGTCATCAATCAGTAGTCACACTGGTATAGTTCATAATAACATTTTACACGATCTAATAATAAGACAATAGTGTTGTCAAAAACAAATATACCTACCTACTGTTAGGATATACTCGACAAAATGTAGGGTAAGTATACAGTGTTGATATTATAATGTCGTAATTGAAAGGTGATAATCCAAAACGTGGTATTGCCAAAAATCAAAATTATCACAAATGAAGAAAAACTATATACGTTTTATAACATGAATTAATACGTCTTGTAATTGGTTTAATCAAATGTGAAAAATGAAAAAAAAAAATGGTGGTGTCAAAATTAATCTATTTTGAGTTTAAAACTTAGTTTTAATACTTTAAAAAAGTGTTTACAGGCCATAACGTGGTATTGCAGGTTTTGGAAAGGTAATGGCAATAGCACGTTTTGAAGTTGTTCCTATTTCTGTTGATGCAAAACGCATTATTGCCGGCAATACCACGTTTTGAAGAAAAATTTAATATTAGCAGTATCACGTTTTGCAATGATAACAAGTATGTCCCAATACAAATAACATAGGAAATAATACGTTTTGACTTGAACATGTAAAATACCACGTTTATCTTTGTCATTAAATGTGGCAATATCACGTCATGCGTTGAACATCAGTTTTAAAATCAATTTTATTCACAAAATTAAAATTCTAAATTTAATTTATTTCTAAAAAAAATTTAATTCTAACTGCAAAATCTAATTCCTCACATTTTTTTCCATAAAAGTCGATGTTTAATCGATTTTCGAAATTTTTGCAATACCACGTTTTGGATTTTCGCGCTTCAATTGTGAAGTGAAAAATAGCAAATATAATATAATAAATATTTATAAACTGAATGAATGTTTTTTAATAAGTTTTATCACTGTTATAATATGGTAGATACAACTTTACATGTGACAAAATAAAAGTAAAAATAAATGTATCATAAAGAAGTATTCAAATTTGTATTTCCGCGTTCATGCATAGTTTTATTTAGAACTATTTTTTTTATTTTTCTAATTTCATTTTACCTATATTTGGTTTATTTTTTTAATGGTAACACATTTATTGTAGTATTTTATAAAATTAAAAAAAAAAAGTCCATTAGGTACGTGATTAAATTGTGTAATTACCACGTCTCTCGATTTGCGTTCAAAACTTTTGTCCTTAGATACTGATGTTTTCGTGATTTTATCTCCTGGTGTTCTCAATTTGATTTTACCAGCTGAAAATTGTAGATAAAATGTAAAATTTGTATGAACATAATGTGTCACTTCTACGATGAAATGCAAGTTCGTTTAAGAAATGAAAATAAATAATTAATAATATATTGATTGATTTAATTTCAAATAATTTTGTTTGCCAATTAATTCCTATAACATAAAAACTAATTTATATTTTTAAATCTACGTAGTAATACTCTTTGCAAAATATAATAAGTAGTTAAAATTTATTTTCAGTTGAGTTATTAAATAAAATGTAATCGTATTTAAGAATCCTTATAACAATTCGTCTCTCTAGGTTTAAAATCCGTTATTATAGAAAGATATTATATAATATATTGTGAATAAAACATTATTCAATTTTCAACTCAAATTTCCTTCCAAGTTACATTTTAATTAAATTTAAGTAATGACTATAAAGCGGATACATGAATGATTTTGTTCCAACGTTGGTTATACCATACGCAATTACAATATTAATACGATTATACTGACATAGCCTGCAAAACAATAATTAATTAACTAATTGTATACTTACTTTGTAAATATTGTATAAACCTTTCAAGATCTGCTATTTGGGTTTTTAACTGATCGACCAAATGTTCTGTGGCTTTCATTGGATTTACCAGCTATATATAAAGGATTGGTTAAGTGTATTTTGCTAGTTAATTAACAATAATATACGACATTTGTTATACGAAAACAATCAAGTCTTGAACATAGGTGGACATCGGGGGGGGGGGAGACTATATTATAAAGGGGTAGCTAGATAATTAGCACTTCTTAATAACACAATGGTATATTATAATAGATACTATAGAAGTATAGAACAGTGCATTGTACTTGAAGGTTGATATTATGATTATATCAATACATTTTCCGACAAATAGTTATATTATGTAATAGGTACCTACTTCCTACTGTTAGTTGTTACATAATGCATCAGATTCACACACCAGGAAAATCTAATTTCACATATTTTTATGTAACGGGCATTTTAGACGTAGGTACCTATGTATTATAACTTAAAAGAATCGTTTAATTTAAGAATTACTTAACTTGTAATTTTCACAATTTGAACTTCATGTATGATATAAAGCTATAGTCCAGTAATGTAAGTATTTACGATGGGGGAGGTCAAGGGGATTAATTTCCCCAACATCAAAATATGTTGTAATAAATAAATTTTTTGTGAAAATTTACTTCAAATGACCTATTTATAACTTTTGAGTATATTTATTTAAGAGTTTAGGCATTTTACTAAAATATAAAATGATAATATTTTATAGGTGTTGATTGTTGTTTATTATTATGATTGATTGATTACGTACTTTTTGAATTGCGTTATCAACTTCTTCTTTTAGTTCTTCTACAGACATGTTTTTAGAGTTTTTGATACTTAAATTTAATTTTTTTTCTACTTGATCTAAAAATAAAACCGTTTGATTAGGATTATATTAATTACTTACGTAACAAAACGAAAAAAAGAGAATATAGATTTTGTGTGGATTAAAAAGATAATATTTACTAATTATGTTGTTTTGTCTTTCGCGGAAAACGTCTACGAAACTTTCTGGAAGATCAAATTCGTCTTTATTATTGTATATATGGCTCTCTAAAGCTTCCAATTGTTTTTTCATTTCCTTGATTACTTCAATTTGAACTTGATGTTTCTTTTCAACCATATTGTCGTCATCGTTCTAAGAGTAAAAAATCTATACATTTTCGTTCATAAAATGTCATTAACAAAAATCTACCGTTGTCACAAGTAAGTGGTTCAAAGAGCAATTCGTATACACGTTTGGGATGCCTTTAAATGCAAATTCTTCTAAATTTTTAAGTAAATGTTTTTTCTCTTCATCAGGTGACTCAATAATTTGATGAATTCGTAACTGTACCTGCATATTAAACACACATGTATATACATGATAAATTTAGGATTTTCGTGTTAGTAAAAGAAGAAAAAGAAGTGTTTCAACATTTTAAATGTGAATGTATTAAAAAAATAATTAGTTATTAAATCTATTTTAGTTGTCAATCTTAAGATATTATGGTGCAATTAATAAAAGAACCAGAATAGTCGAAAATGATAAACAGTTTAAGTGCTTGTACTCATAAACTTGCATGCTACCTGTGAAAAATGTGAAGTCAAAGCTATAACAGATGAATGAAGAATTTCATATTGTTCTTCTAAGTATCCAACTTTATTGTTTTCACTAAAAAACCAAATTTTGACATTTCATAATTTCATATTATTTATAATAATAGGTATATGTATTAATTGTAGAATTAAACATATCTATTTGTTAATTTTAACTAAGCAGCTATCGTTATAAAAATAATACGCCACTTATAATAATTATATTAGGAAAAAAGCAAAAATTGAACAGGCCATAATAACTATAGGTAGCGGATCATACTATATTATTATATTAATAATTTAAATTAATTAAAAGATTAAGAATCAAATATCAAATCCTAAAGCATGTATAAAGCATTATATATAAAAAATAATTAAGATTTTTTTGAGAATTCTACTACAGTAATAATTATAATAATAATTTTTGATTTAATTTAATAATCATTTTATTACAATTTTTAATATTATATAACTAACGACAGATTTCCTGCCAAATGTATTTTGATCTATATTAGGAAGTTAAAAAAAAAGAACTGCATTGAGTATTTGTCCCATCTTTGCTACACTATAAAAATGTTTGGTAAGATTATTTTAGTAAAAAATCATTCTAGACTAGTTAAGGATCATAGATAATGATTTGTATTTTTTAATAAAGGAATTAATCACAGACATTGAACAACAGACAGTATTAAATTTTTTTTTGAATACTCTAAACAACCTTATTGAATCAGGAATAAAGGCTTTTACAATTTTCGTGAAATACAAATCATGTGGTGGTAGGTACTTATAAATATAATCAACATATTGTAGTACATTTTAAGACTTTGTGCTATAAAATTCTATATTTTCTATAAGTATTTATAATTCTAATTCAGGATTTATGTTAATTACCTATACTTAGGTACTTACTACTAATATTTAAACTTAATAATGGGATTATTATTTTTATTGTGAACTTTTATATTTTAAACATTTATTTACCTTTTCAAAACATTCTAAAAATAATGAAACTAAAATAAAAAAAAAACCTTAATAATTTAAATAATTTAATCGTAGAACTTACTTCCAATTCGTGTGACTCGTTTCACAAAACGAGTAAAGTGCATTGTCGTGTTCATCTGCAATATCCGTTCTGTTACAATTATTGAGGTTTATGTTGTTGTCATCATTTGCTTTTATGATTTCCATCGTAAGATTGACTGACATTCAAATAATTGTTTATAAATTTAACTTAAGTTAATGTTTGTTCAATATGGCAATTAAATGGTTGCAAAAAATTGTGATTACATAAATTAAAATGATATTTAATATTGTTTTGAGTAACGGGTGAAGTTATAATTTGTTGTTGTTGTTGCTACTTTAACTTTTTAGGCATACAAACTTATCACTATGCGTTGGAAAAAAATAATGGATATTTGTTTTATATTTTACACAGACAGTGGAAATTGTTGTTTCCTATAACAAGTCCGCTATCAAACTGTCATATGTAAAGCAATTCGGTAAAAGAACACTAAATACGCAACCCACACGTTTGACAGTTGCAGCTGTTAACACTATATAGCAGCCTATGTGGTGCAGGGAGGGCCTATCGATTATTTTGTATGACGTCAGCGACGGGTTCCCAAAGTTCGGATTCGACTCGATGCATAAACATCGCATAATATTGCAGTACCGACGTTGTCAAGTACAGTATAATATAACAATACGGTAGTTTTTCGTATAGGTACTGTGCAGTCTAATGAAGTCAATTTCAAAATAATTAAGTAGGTTGTACGCGTGAGGATTTAAATAATTAATATAAATATTATTAATTATTTAAATATTAATACATATACTATAATATAAATAAATATATGCATGTGCTTTTTGCACTTTTAAAATCACGTTAAATAACATAATTGTTTATTATTTACGTAGTATAAATTAATTATACACGTTATACGCTAATAATATGTTATATATTACAAAACATAACTCATAAGTAGGTTGTATATAATTATTGTTATGTTTTGCATTGTGTTAAAAAAATATAAACTATTTAGAACGGCCAATATTATACTGTATAGGACATAGGTCGTTCGCCTAGGTATAATTTTACATTTATTGTCATTTAGAAACAAATAACAATAGTTAAAATACTGTTAAACATATTATTATATATTTGTGTAAAGGTACCCATTTTTATATTATATACCTAGGTAGCCACTTATTGAAGTTGGATGTGATATACTTAATAGAGGAAAATATAGTTATTTGCTAGTCAATAACGATGATATCAAAGTAAACTGGAAACTAATTCCCTATGTCCTTATTTACTTCCTTATACTACATATTTGTATAATTTTAAGGTGACGTATAGTAATTATAAGTACAAATTACGTAATTCTCAATATTCTTACTAATATTAACCTATATTTTGAGTTACATCAATATAAAAAGTTTAATTTATTTTTAATAAATTCATAAAAATTTTCAGATTTTGAGCGAAGTGTATAAATAATTTATATTATTACACTTTAACGTCTTACAACAATTTCTTTTAAGCAAAACCACTTCTAGTATCAAAACTGAGTGATACTTTAAAGAGTTTCTCTATCTTGCCGATAAAGTTTTTATTTAAGCATCAGGAAAAATACTTAAATACAAACCTTTATGAAGAAACCTCAGTAGTTTATCCTAATGGACATTAATAACATTTATGAGCATCGCCATAGTGTAAGTAAATTATATAAGTAATTATTTTTAATATAAATACAAATACGAAACGGTTAATATTTACAATGTAAATTCTACATAATATTATATATTTTACGAAGGCAAATATTATATATTGTTTACGTTAAAACTTCGGTTACTACATTTATAAAAAATAAAAGTTATAAGAACTAAAAAATAATATGAATATCAAACGACTACTATATAATATATTATAACGAAGGTTCAAATTAAATAAATATTATATCGATATCGTCACATTTTTTTTTGATTTTAGGATATTTAACCAACCACATTTCAAATTAAATGACATAATAAATTGCAGTATAGAAAAACCAGGAAGCTATCTGCTGTATAGCAGGTGCGTGCTGTAATAGATATGTTAAATTCTAATGTAGGTACCTACCTAATTTGGCTGGATTCACGGGCAACGCACACGTAACTATGTCACATAATACGAGCCACCAAACCAAAAATAAAACATAAGCGTCTAAATATTATAATGTTTTTGTTTTAATTATTTAATTTACTATATGTGTAGACCGTAGGTCAAAATTAAACTGTACATGAATATTAATGTTATTTCAAAAATAATTTCCATTTTAATCTTAAATGATACCCTTTATACATTCGCTTTCTAATTAATAAAAACCTATTTAATATCTAGGTAATTTGTCTAGATAACAATATGAATCAAAACCATTTTTGCAATTTTTTCCTAATTTTAATATTTCATGGTAAAATATGCTCACATACAATTCTAAACACACTATATATAAATTTCTATTGTTAATGTGTTTTTACTTATTTTTTAGCTCCAGATATTTGTTAAATTAACTTACCGGTTTGGAAATGTAGAGCAAAATCAATGTCTGATTCAAAAAATATTTATAGCAAAATTGTTAAATTCTAATTAACTATCTAAGACTGACGTCACATTTAAGTATTCTAAACCATCCACTAATAACCATCAAGAAATACAATGATGGATTGGATACTCGCCTGAACTTAATCCTATTTGGTCATCTTCATGCACTTGATACTGTCAAAACATTTGGCGAATTAGTATGCACAATAACCAACGACAATATTATTTATTTAAATAAGTCTGCAGATGTAGTAACAAGTATTAAAAAAATGTATACAGTCTACCAAGGGATAAAATACTGTATCTCCTGAAAATTAAAGTGTGTCCCCTGAATGAAAAATGTGTGTCCCAAGTCTTATAACGTGTTTTTAGTTTTGTAGAAATAACAAACATTAATCATTTAATATATTAATTTACTAATTACCTATTCTGTTAACTTAAATTAATTACCTACTTATTGTATTTCTATAATATGGACCAGTTTGTTATAAAAAAAAGAAGAAACGATAATGAATCAATTCAAAGTAATTAGGTACCTGCCTTAATACAAAATATCTAAACATGCAGGTACATAAAATATTTAAATTATTCTAAGCTGTGTCTATTGAAATACAATATTGTTTACTGTAATACCCACTGAAAAGTTAAGTAGTAATTTATAGAATATTTTCATAATATTATATAATTAGGTATAGGTACTATACCATATTATAAATGTGTATTGTTATTTGTTGTTTATTTTAAGTCTAAAATATGTTAAAATATTATTAAAAAAAATAAAATGTAAACTGATTATTATAATCATAAATTGGATTTAAAAAAATTATACAATTATTTCGTTTTATAATAAATGTAACTAAAATGATTTACATACATGATAATATACATAAATTGATAGTCAAAAACAGCTTAATGAAATATGCTTATATTTATAATAAATTAAAATAATATTGTTTACACTGTACAGTAACCCTTTTCTACCTGATGAATGGTTTTATTCAGTTATATCATCAAATCAGACTTACTTTTTCATTCATTTTGGTGTCGTTATAGTACGGAATGACACCCCTAATTTAGTACACGGCTTTTATTACAAGTAAATAACTAAAAATGTTTCACTACGCTCGAACAAACTTTATACAATATACTTACAAAAAAACTACCTACTTACCTACCTACTCATTAGTCATCTAGGTACTCTTGCCACACTTAGGTATTGTCTTTTACAATATATTTAAACACATGAACCAGATACAATTAATACAAATTATTAATTTATTACATACATTATATTATGTCTACATTATCATTATTAATTTCAAACTCATGTCTCATGTTTTATGGTATATTCTATACCTAGCGGCTAGCTCTGAATTATTATATTGATAAACGACTAAGGAAAAAGGCATACTATGTTTAACATTTTAAATTTTATATAACAATAACATTATCCTAAAAATCGACCAAGTTCAAAACTTTTGTTATTTCTTGTATAAATAAATAGTATAGATACATATAGATAGGAATATATTAATTAATAGATATTATAATCGAACAACAAGTTACAGAGTATTAGAGTTATCAGTACTGCAATATAAATATATAATGGTACATGGCAATATCATATGCGGGCAGCTCGGTGCCCCGGCTGCTATAATACAATATGTCAATATATTATTATGTAATGAATACTGAATAGTGAAAATATTTAAAATAGTAGGTTAGTAAGTAGGTACTAGGTATTACGAAAACAAGGTCCATAAAGAGCGTTTTCTCCCAATAAGTACCTAATATAGTTCTAATATTATATTCCATTACGATTTTAGATATTCCGACAATTGACATCGTATATTCGTGAACTAAAATAATTAATATTTATTCTACTAAATATTTTATTTTCATCATAATATTATAAATTACATTATTATCGACTTTTTTTGCAGCCCTTAAATTTTTGGCCGCCCCTGCCGCCTGGAGCAACTGCTCCTTTTGCCCCCCCCCCCCTTGATGCGCCAATGAGTGCACAACCATTTATAAGCGATTTCTGAAGTAATTATTTTCGCGTCTTTATTACCAGTGCTCTCTAACGCCATAACTGTAATGTACTGAAGTAGGGGCCATGTATTCGGCTGATCCCACTGTTCTTTCGTTGTCTTCAGGGTGGTTGCTATAACCCCATCAGTCTTCAGTATTTCCGTTTTGTTAAAATAGTTGAGAATCCTTGTTACGAAGTATTCGGTTTTGTTTTTTGCATAACAACCAGTCTATAGAGGTGATAATGGTGATATATTTGTAGTTTAAAAATATTTTCATTTAATATTATTAATCATATCGAAGTCGAGCCACGCTCCGACCTCCTCGTCCCACAAAATAGCTGTCACTGCATCTTTCCATTGCAAAGAAATATTTTCATATTCCAATGCCTTGACGGTGTTGTTCATCTCCCGGTAGAAATCACTCAATATCTTTGAATTCCAATACATTAATGTATTTAATTGATTAATTCTACCGGGACCATAGATTTAGTTTTTGTACTTAAGATATTTCCTGCAATCATACAATGACATCAGTTACCTACCTATTGTAAGCCACGTTTTTGACCACATCATAACCTAAGACAATACCTATTATCCGATAAAATGAAACATTATCTCACTACCCATTTTATTATGATACACACGTAAAATATATTTACATATTTAATACATCGCTCGTTTACCATTGAGTTAAAATATTTTTTTAATGTAAATTAGATAAAAAAATAAAAAAAATAATAGGTAACAAAATTAAATCATTTTCCATCCAATGTGGAGATTTTGAAAATCATATATCATCTTGATCAGAAATGAAGTACCTAAATAATTACATTTTATTCATTGAGACGTCACATACTATCAAATTCGGGATTTGAAGTTTTAATTATGTATACCTGGTCACCCCACACTCCATACGGACCGTCGCGCGTCGCTATTAGTTACTCTGTGTTTTATTTTAAGTCTTAATATTACATACATATGCATACTTATAACAGATAAAAATAAAATAAAACCAATATGCTTCATATTAATAGTTGTGGATATGTTTCTAGAAAAAATATAATAAATAAAATGTTTACCAGTTGAGTATAATTAACGTGATAATACATTTTAGGTATACATCGTTTATGACATAGACTAGCTATAAGATACAAGGTAACGTATTATCATTATGAAAGTGGATCGTTCGGTCGGTCTTGAGACATGCCCTAAAAACACGTGCAGTAATAATGGTTTAGAATCATTTACCCTGTAGAGTCTATAGAGTAAAGATAAAAATATAGACCCTACTCTAATTCGAATAAATCTTCAGATTCTATACATTAATTATATAGTAAATGAAACTATGTTGAAATCGTGTACGAAAAGAGAAAAAAGTAAATTTTTTAAAATTAAAACTGGTAATATTTATAATTGTAATAATGATCAATAATATTCTGACATTATAGACTTAAAAGTCTTAGTATTTACTATAGTTCTTTATATTGTTAAAATATTAATAACTATAATGTAGTATTTTAGTTTTGTGGGTACCTACTTACCAATACTTTGAGCTTGGTTTAAACTTATAAAACAGTCCTAAACAAATAAAGTGATTTTATTTTAACAAATAAATTAGTTAAAAATATATACCGATGTTAACAAAAATAATGCAACCATCCATCGTGGTCCTATATTCATGACATAATTGTTGACTAACAAGCTTAATAAGCTTTAATTGAACATATTTTAATATACAGAGAAGCCTATTTGAAAGCCATGCAAATAAATAAGATATGCTTTACATTTTATTTATGACGTGCAAATATATATATATTATATTAATTTTTATCCAAGCTTAATTTGTCATCTGCGTTAATTTACATACCTAAACTTCACTAACATTTTTAGAAAATTTAAAAATTTTCAGAAATACAACTATATGTACCTACAATTTTTATAATATATTTTATGATAATGTTATATTAATAAGTAAAATATTTTATTCGTCAATCATAGTTTCTATTATAGTATTGGCTATAATATTTATTACTTACCGTTATCTGATACTCATATAATAAATTAACTTAATTCATAAAACCATTCAGTTTGACATTGTTTGGCTCTTTGCTCCACTCTGTTTTATTGAAGTTTTTTATAATAACATCAAGGGTGCATTTAGTTTTCATGTCCACAAAAGTCTTAGAGTCATTGAATTTTCAGCCATCCGTACGGTATGCAGAATAGACATTACATTAGCCCTGCACAGGAAAGGATTTGCAAAATTTCGTTTTTTAAGTAGTCAATATAGCTAAGACAAACCACACAGACATGGGATTGTGTATTTGTGTACATAGGTATACCTACATATAATAATATAGTAAATTAGTAATGCGACAACAATTATAATATGTAAGAATAATTTATTTAATTATTCATCACGCAATAAATTACAGTGTTTAGACACTACTATAATGTAATAACAGTTTTATTATTGTGAAAATAACAGTATAAACGTTGAAAAAAAGATTATATTAATAAATACAGTTAAATAATTTGTTTGTAAGTACTTGAATATTGAAACAATTTGGTTCATTATGATCAATATTATTATTACAATAATATAATATTATTATATAAAATACCTAATTTAATATTACTACATTTCAGCCTTCAGGTATACCAGCAAAAGTATGACGACCGAATTTGATTTTCAAAAGTCCATTCTGCCCCCATTCATTGCCCAAAAAATGACTAACAACCAATAGTCTACACCATGTTCGACTCACCATCCAATTAACTTGGCACATTGATATCGTACAAATTTAGATTTTTCAGTTCTTGGCTTAACACATGTAGCAAACAACAAATCAAAGCCATACAATACATTCAATTGTATAATATTTATAGCATGATTTATAATATGATTGATCGTATGTACCTATAAACTTACCACTTTTGTAAAGAAAAAGGTCATGGTGTAAAAAGAAATATGCTGAGACTGAACTGTAAGTTTGCACGTACAATAGTTTTTTTTAACATTTATGAAATAAAGAGTTGTAAGTATAATATGATAAAGATAATTATTAAAAGTAATAAAATATTTTTTTTTGTTTTATACGTTATTTATAAAATTAATCTTTACAATGTGGTAAAAAAAAATATAGGTTCATAGGCATACATATATAAAAAAAATTTGCAAGTTTTATTAAGATCAAGCGTTGTTTTTTGTTATAGTCAAACTCATAAAATGTTATTAATGAGACAATAATTACAATAATAATAATAATTTTATATGCATGACCAGATTTTGGTCTCACCACAACTGGCACTTCTTGGCCGGGTTCATGTTGGAGCCTAGAGGACACCGGAAGTCGTCGCTGAAGTCTTTCATGTTGGAGAACGGGCCGTTGATCCGGAAACGGGAGAGCGAATGTTCGCCGTATTTGATTCTAAAAATGTCAACGTCCATCTGATTCTTTTCGCACCACACATTGGCGTTGCTCAACCAGAACATCTGCCGAGGCGTGTACTCTAGGAGCCCAGGTAGTCGTGGTTCAAAGCCATGTCTTTTTTCAAAATCTCTGTACGCGTTGTACGCTATGTTAAATCCTCCATTGTCTGAGATATTTTCACTAAGCGTTTGAGTGCCGTTCACCTGCGGAAAACATGTCGTTAAGTTATAGGTCGTAGTCGTTGGGTGGGGTGGTTTAAATAAGGAATATCCATATGTGGAGGGGATGAGATATGAGTATTGCCCAATAATTTTAGATTATCGAAAAAAAAAAAAACAAAAAATTCTTTTTTAAATAATATTGATCGGTAATTTTTGAAATATCAATTACACCTCAACGACGATCGGATAAAAATGTGTCTTATGAGAGGTGACTGGTTGACAAGATATCGCGTGGTCGTAGTTTGGGGACATTTTTAACTTATATATAAATCTAGCCAGTTTATAAATATATAAGTTGTTCCAAATATTTTCAAACATAATGACATATCAAAATAAATTTTGTAATTTCAGAGTCGTTATTTATAACTTTTGTTATATTTGATCTTTGATACGATTATATACGATTATATACGATTATATACGATAATATATATTATATTATATTATTATATGACTTGACATTAAGATTATATACTCTTTGTGTGCGATAATATATAATGCAAACCAACAGACTTGAGCCAGACTATAAAAAATAATATTAATATACATGATCGAGTAACGCGATTAGTTGATTTCCAACACTCTTTGACCTTGCTACGATATTATTTTTACAAACATTATTAAGTGATTTTAAATTGTTTCTCTAGTTTTTAATACTTTTTAGAATTGATCAATGTGAAATGTGAAACATTATTAGTGAAAAGGGCCAATGTGTTAAAATAGTTTAAATCATTTGATTATTATATTCGAAAACGTTCTAAATATAATTATATACCAAATAGAAATGTTATAATTTAATTATAATTATATATATAATATTATAGATTCTGAGCGGAGCGATAAATGTATTGATTTTACAATGATGTGTGTTTTTTTTAATTTTTTTTTTTTGTGTTTGTCATCACGGTTTGGGGCTGTAAAACTGCTTCGATTTTCTTCAACAGTATATTGTTCGATGGGAAAATGAATCTAGTTGGTGCATTCGGAAGGCCATATTTTAAAATACCAATAGTTTTCAAAAGCGACGGGAAAAACAACATAAAAATTAAGGAAAACGTGAATGTTTCTACAAAATCGGTTTTGGTTTTTGGTGTAACTCTAAAACAAATGTCCGTATATTCATGACATTTTTATTGGTTGTTTATATTTGCATTTTCTGTACACGATAAAATTTTCAAAATATTTTGATTTGTTTTGAACTGTTCAGGAACATTTTCAGTTTCCTATTTTATTAGTCTTTTTTTCAATGTATAATGCCAATAAAACTTTATTTGGTTTGTAAAAAAGTTTGAAAATTTAATACAAGGCTCCTACTATAATGTTAAAATGGCATTTGAAAAATATTAAAAATTCTTTGCCACAGTTTTTTTTCATAAGCATTTAAAGTTAAAATCTTGACAAAATACGGAAAAATCACGAAAATTAGCAAAATATTTTAAGTTGAAAATTCAAAAAAAATTTTCTTTTTAAATCTAAGATTTAAAAATGTAATACAAGATTATTCATAAGATTGTCTAAATATATAAAAAAACAAATGTCTACACGCAAATCAAATTACATTTTTATGAGAGTTCACTCGATTTCTCATGTAGTGGTTATGTTATTTTATTGTTATTAAAAAACGAATGACTGTAGATACTTGGAAATTTCATTGAATGTTTATATTAGTTTATATTATAGGTAAGTACCTATTATATTTCAATTTTTTTTTTAATACCACAGATAAGCATATAATATTTCTTAAACCTAGACTGACATACCAGCTGTGCTCAGAATCGTTTTTCTTATACAATAATATTATATCATTGAATTCAAATTTAATACCATCCATTATACAGTGATCCACTTGTAAGTTGTAACCTACTGTACAGCAGAGCGTCATCCACTTGCACAGCTTTTTTTTTTTTTTTGCTTGTATTATCATTCATCTGCTTATTGTAATTTGTGTGTTCTAATTTTAAATTTATTAAAATATATAATTTTGCATAGCTCCCGTAGGAAATGTTAATGTCAAGAAGAATATTGATGACTGTTCACTGTTTATTGCAGGGTGCGAATGCGACTGGTATATATTTATACACTGCAAGAGGAATTTTTAATAGTTCCATTCGAACACAAGATAAACACATATTTTAATCTATTTTACCTTTTAGAACACATAATTAAAATGCATAGATTTATGTGCAATATTACTGTTCGATTGTTCAGTAAAATGGAAGAAACATCATTATAGTTTTAGGGATCTAGATAGGTATACGAAATTCGGGAAAAATTACATTTTAACAAATGATAATTTAACTTCAAGATTAAGCCACGTAAGAACGTAGTCTCAAGAAATTTATTTCATCAAACACACCTTGAGATCGACTTCAGGAACAGTGTAATTTCCATATTGATTGATGAAACACTTTTCTTTTTCGAAAAAGCGTTTATTCGTCTCCTCCGCCCACCAGTCTACCTTGGTACCATTCATATCATAGTGTCTGTATATGTTATCAAAACCATGAATGATCTCGTGCCCAATTAGAAATCCAATTCCACCGTAATTCATGTATTGAGGACGATCGTTCGAGAATAACGCACCTTGCAAGATACCAAAGGGAAGTACTGGGAAATTAAAATAATTTATAGTATAATAAATATGGTTCTAATAATGTCTATGTTTATGTTCTAATATTATATTATAGGTTTAGTGTTCAAAAGACAGTAAAAAAACTCTTTGAAAATTTAATAATGTAATCAATTTGTTTTTAATTTCGAATACATTAAGTATTGAGGTTAGATGCACTCAAAATATTGTGGTTGGGCCAAGAAAACAATTGTTTGATGACTTCTAAATTTTGTTAACTCATTTCAAATTATTTTTTTAAAATTATTTTATCAAATTAAATTTATTTTTATTACCTCACTTTTATTCAAAAGATTAGTTTTAATTTTCACCAATAAAAGTAATAACACAACACAACACTATATCAGTCTATATATTATTCCAATATTACTCACTGATTCTGTTTTCTGTAGGTATATAGAAAGCATTTATAAGTGCTACATAACCTCTTAGAGAAACCAAATCCGATGTATTAACACTATTAACAGGTTTCCTTAATTTTGAAAACTCATAGTCAGTGATAAATTTAGTGCAATTCAATAATGATGTATAAAAGTCTTGGTCGTTGACTTCCAACTAAATAAAAAACACATAGTTAGGAAGTTGTAACTAAATACTGAATAATCATTACAAAAACAATTTCTTAAATGTTTTTATCGTGTATTGTATTCTAAATTCCTATGCACTATAGTCATATGGAATTAATTACATTTTCATAATAGGCAATCAACTTGCTGTCATCCAATAGCTCAGGATGTATAATCTTATGTGTCATTGCCTTTGCTTTGTCCATTGCTTTTTTCCTAAATGAAATAACAAAAATAATAATGTCATAATGTTTTTTATTGTCTACCCTCCGTATGTATTTTTACTTTGTTCTATATCAACTGAAGGTAATCTTTACCTTGTTTTATCGTCCATCCACATATTTGACGATAATATTTTATACAGTTCCTCCTTGATACTATTCACCATTTCTGTAATATTCTGTTTAGTGTATTCATTGAAACGTATACGTTGAAAATATAACGAGTTAATGGCTAAATCAAACATTACAGTACTGATATCCATGCAATTTTTCCATCGGGGTTGTGTTATATCATGTGCCATGTAAATATTATGTCTTTTTCTCAGTTCTTCTGTCAGACATATTGAGAAATCTTCAATATGTCTCCAAATCACGTAATTTACTTGGACCCTGCCGGCAAAATCGTACTAAGTTCTACAGCGTTTTTAAGTATATAGATAATTTCAATAAAATTTTTATACGAATATAACAAATTATTCAATACCTACGTAATTACAAAAATTATATAATTTAAAATTAATTTATATAATGTTGATATAGATTGGTTATTAGTGCTTTTATTATAAAATCAAATTATTTTAATATTTTGTAGAAAATTATACAATTCGCTTTTTAATTTATTACATTTTTGTATTTGTTTTATAATATTTACCTTTTGGGAGTTTTGCTGAGTAGTGATTCCAAGCCCGAAAAGTATTTCGGCGAAGCCACAATTATAATGTCATCCTGTCGGATGAATTGGTTCAACGTTTTGTTAAGGAACTCTTGCCACGGTATCCTCGGGAACTTTTGTTGTAGATCGGAAATTTTCATCTGGTTGTACAACTTATCATTGTCCTGTTGCTCTTCCTCTGACATCGATATCTTGGCCAATTCTATCTCAAAGTCCAATGACTCTCTCATCTCCTCGGTGGCCTTTTGCCTTTCAGCTCCAAACAGCACCACAATGTCCACCATGTACCTGTAGTATTGGTACACGGAATCGTCGTCTTTTTCCTGGGCCAGGTACTCTCGTGTATGTCCCAAGGACGTTTTGTTCAGCTGAAATGTCGGTTGATTTGTAGGCTAGCCTTCAGCTACGTAATATATAGTGCTTAAATAAATTTTCCATAAGCACCCCATTAGTCTTAAGGAGTCTATTAGTAAAACTATTATTGATGCCAGTACAGTAACTTTTGAGTCTGTAGATAATTAAGAAATAGACATACATACAGACAAACAACCTCTTGATTACAGATAGAAACTTTTTTAAACATAAAGCTTGTGTAGGTTAAAATACGATAATATTATAAAAAAGTTATGTAAAATCAGCACGATTTCCAAACATATTTCCTTGCAACACAATTATTTATAATTTCATAATATTATACATTTATACTATTTAAAATGAATTTACTAACTATAATAATAATTATGTAGGTATTTTGATTCTATAGAGTATAGTGTGTTACCACTGGGTATCCTCCCTAATCTCATAATTTCATGTACACCTTATTTTTTTATTTGGCATTTATCAAACCAAGTATGTAAAAAAAAATGTATAGATTTTAGATACCTACATGTATTTCAATTTAATAATAAAAAAAAAAAAAAGTTGATTTTATATCTGGTTTTTAGATTCTGCTTCTATGAGTGTCAATAAATTTATTTGTTTTTAACAGTATTTAACAGATATTTAACAGGCAATTTGTTTTACAATTGATTTATACTGTATTTTTGTAAACTATATAAACACTGTAAACTATACCCATTCATAGCGTCAGAAAAATTGTATAGCTAAGATACACAATGATAGCAAAACAGTGAAAAAAAAAAAAAGTAATTTAAACTGATTCATAACATTGTTTTATAGTTTTAATAAAAAGTACAATAAAAATGACTTGAATTGATTATTTGATTTTATCAACTATCATTATTAGATTCTGAGCGGACCATATCCGATTTATTAACACTATTAACAGGTTTCCTTAATTTTGAAAACTCATAGTCAGATGCTGAGCAGAGCGAGGGATCTATTGGTTTTACAATGGTGTTTATTTATTTTATCTTGTATAAGAAATTTCTACCAGAAGGAGTTCTTCGCTTTCAACATATATTATCTTATCTTTTAACAAATTGGATCAAGATGGTACTTTAGAGAGGTAATTTTTCGATTTTTTCAATATTTATTTAATGACACAGGAAAAACCACAGACAAATTACAAAACACAGCTAAAAATGGGATTTTAATCTCTAACACTTTGTTTATCACAGTAAAAACAAATAGAAATAAAAAAAGCGGGTAAGTGGATGTCACTCTGCTATACAGTAGGTTACATGTGGGTCATATAATGGATTGTATTAAACTTGAATTCAATGATATAATATCATTGTATAAAAAAACGATTCTAAGCTTGTCAGTCTGAATATTTTATATTGTTATTATTTTTTATATCATGCAAGTTGAGTTAATATTATAATATTATTATTTTTTATTCTCTTCTATGGTTATAAACAAAGCGCTAGAAATTAAATTCCCATTTTTAGCTGTTTTTCGTTATGTTTTGGTGGTTTTTCCGGTTTTATTATATAACTGTTGAGAAAATCGCAAAATGACCTCTCTAATAAGTACCATCTCGATCCAATTTTGCTAAAAGATAAGGTACTATATGTAGAAATCGAAGCACTCCTTCTGGTAGAAATTTTGTATACAGGATATAAAAAAAAAAAATTAACTTGGAATTCAAAACCTCTAATAGTCGTGAATACACACAGTGTAAATATGAAAATGTTTATAATTCAGAACTCTACACATAATAACAATACTATTGTATTAATGTAGAATAACTCACATACAGAATATTTTCTTTAACATTATTATCTGGTGCGACCTTTAATTCGAAGAAGTAAGCCACTCCCTGCAACTTGTACATAGTGTCCGTCCACGTGAACTTTGATTCGTTCCATTTCTCGGCTTCCAGCACCGGCCATCCGCCGATGCTTTTCAGCATTTTCTTGATAGGTTCCAAGCCTAACTTTTCTGTTAACATAAGGTTTTTAGTAAATTGTTTTATACGAGTATATTGCGGTGTTTCCGAATCACGTTCTAAAATCATGATCTAGCTTGAATTGCGTATTTGGTATATTTGAGACAGAACTGATTTGAGTGAAGTACGAATGACACATTATTTAACATTCAGTAAAAACGATCATCGGATATGTGAATACTAAAAAATTAAAAATTTGAAGAAAATACATGTAAATAGGTAATATATCTAAAAATCTAAACAAAATAAATGTGGGCCAATGGTTACAGATCTGCTGTACAGTAGGTTTCTAGAAGGGATGACCGTATGGAAGTATTACATTTGAATTTAATCAGATACAAATATTGTAGACATACGAAAAAAGATTCTGAACAAAGACAGACCGTCAGCCTACAGCCTATATTAGATACTAATTATATATATATATATTATGATATTATTGCTATTAAAGTAATTTAAATTAGTAATTCAGTGAGCTGAATTAATTTTTTACAAAATTATACAGACTTATAAAATTTTAATAATGTCCAATCGTCTATCACAAATTCAATCACAGCATAATCCAAATTATAGTTTATTATTGAATTTTCGAGTTAAATATACAATTATATAATAGATATAACAATATGTGCTGGTCATTTGCTTAAACTTTTATTCACGCAGTTCAAATATGTATAAAATATATTATAATATGACTGTGTAATTTTACTAATATGATATATTTGTAAGATCATTATACCTTGGTCTATGCAAGATTTAAACTGCAATTTCATCATCTTGATCGGTCGCAGTTCATTAGGTTGAATGGGTTCGGTAACGATCATTCGATTCTGGTGTATTATCGCATCATCAATCGCAAAGAATGAGTTTCGTGCATTTTCGCCATCATTGAGAAAAGTGTTTTTTATAAAATTACCACACGCAAACTGATAGAAATCATCACATGGATCTACTGATTGATCCATGTTGTTGATTAAGGAAGCCGCTGGAATATTGATCAGTTTTAATATCATATAAAGGAGACAGACATATATATTAATCAATCGTACAATTTAAACGTTTTATTAAATTTATTACAAATCAGTAATTAATCGAATCGTATATCAAATGTATGACTCTTACCAGCTTTCACACAACCAGTTGAGAGGCAAATAAGGTTATCTTTTTCGTATTCACTATTTTGGAGCAGCCTCCATGAATCGGCAACCAAACCATTTTTTTCAGATGATATCGATGGAAGGCTCTCTATGAAAATAACAAAATTTTTTGTAAATTATCATCGCATAATCTAGTAATATTGTCATTATAGGAACCTAATTTTTATGTACGTAGCATAATATCATTATCATTTAATTATGTATTTATGTGTATGTAACGTGAATTATATAGTCATACATTTATGGTGGATAGTCGACGCTCTGTAAATCGTTTGAAAGAACTTATCATATTTTGAGAATATTATAAAATAATAACTAAATAAAGTCAAAGAGATTAAATTTAGCTACCTACCTACTATTTACCATTAAATAAATTTTGGTTTTTTTACAATAAAAAAGGTACTATTATAATTATGTTCTTCCAACCAGCTGTAATTTCGATATTATTTGTAATACCTAAATGAGCTGAAAAATAATAAACACTATATTTCAAATGTCCAATGAAAATATTTCTGTCTTATATGATATATTAAACAGTACTGAAATGTGTTATTGGATGGTGTGTTGATCGCACTCCGTTCGATGTACAAGGATAATATACTTCCAGAGGGATTTTAAAAGTATAGTCAATAAACTTAAATGTAATATATAGGTACATTCCATATTTGCATTTATAGTATATATCCTGTGTTATGTTTGTGCTTATTTTAGCAAACGTAGACGCGGAGTGCAGCAAACAACAAAACAACTGTGAGCGAGTTCGTTCCAATTAAGACTGTTTATTATATTCAAAACGGCTATCGCAGTATCACGCTGTACGTCGATACCGATTACCTAATATATTATAATAATTAATTAGGTAACATTTATAAAACCCTCTTCCAGTTATCACGATATTGATCGATATGTATTTATTATCATATTTTATACTTTTATAGTATATTATATACCAACTATTACGTGTCTACCCTGTATTATACTTATTTTATCGTCGTCACCGATTTCGATTGATACTTTGTCATTAAATACAAGTTTTATTCTTACTCGCGATGCAGTTGTGGTTCAAGTACATAATGGTCAAAGTTAGGGCCAAGAACGAGGATAGCATTCTGCCGGCGACGATGGCCAGACTCCGTTCCAAGTTTACCGGGCTTCTGAAATGGAGCAAATACCAATATTGTTATTCTGAGGTAATAAAATATTAACACGTACGCAGGTTTGAGTGTGTGTGTGTGTGTGAAATTCATGTTATTTTGTTTAAACCTGGAATAACTATTTTAGTTATTTTGTTGTGATTGTATGTTTTGGCACCGTCGGCTTCTACGGAACCGGAGGTCAGCCCAGAGAATCGGATGATGAGAGTGTAGGGGGTTGAGGTAACACCGTTAAGACCTAATATATTATATACCTATATAGGTGAATATCACTGAACACGGTATGTATGGTATTCAGGACATTTTTATGTAGCACGATCATATAATTTCAGAACTTTAAGAATATAACAATAAATGAGGCGGAGACATCCCCCCGTATATATAAAGCGTAATACAGATAGTAATGCTAATACAATAATAATAATAAAATCACGAACGATAACTAACGACGACGGCTGTTGCGTGGAGATGGGTGGCGGCGGCTGCAAAGCCCGTGAAGTTGTCCGTATGCGGCGACCTTGACCGACAGTCTATTCGTGTCGACGGTGGCTGCACGTGCGGTGGCCAGTAGACCGGTCTATCAGAATCCGGTGACCCGTTATATTTATGATTCCGGCTGCGGCGACGGCGGCTCTGTACACTCACGAGTCCGGCGGAGGCAACGGCGGAGCGTTATATTTATGATTTCAAACGCACGGCAACGGACAACGGCACACACAACGAGCCCAAGCTCGAATATTATTAGAACGCACAGCAATTCACAGACAATGGGCTAGCGGATACGATTACAAAAAAACCTTGGCCAACGAAGACGACCCACAGTAGGCAAGATGTCATCCGCTCGCTCCGTGAAGCACTGACTATAGCGGACCGGTTGCACGAGCGCACAGCTTGCGTCCAACGGCGGCAGCGCTTATCGGTGTTTGTACTTCGTACGCCAACGGCGCGCTCACGCGGTATGGCTGGTCAGGCTGGGTCTGCACGTAACAGCGCTGAGTTTCGAACATGCTCCCGCATGGGAGGTACAGCCTCACATCCTTGAATTGAAACGGTGCTAGGACACGAAGTGTGGTGATGTGTTGTGGTACGTCGCCCTGATAGCGTGTGTTCTAACATCATGACTCGATCATAGGACGCGAGCAAACGATAATACAACAAGATAAATTATACATATTAGAGAAACAAAAATAAAAAAGGTACATAAGTCATATAGTTAATACCCAAAAATTCATGGAGTACAAAAAAAAATACATAAACTACATAAAATACACAAAATAAAGTATGTACATGACTTTCATAGGGTGGTCGTTTTTAACGGTGTTTCGTTAAAGGACATGGCATATTTTTTTTTTTACAATAGTGACAACCGAGGTGATCAAAAAATATAATTTAAGTAACTAAGTACGTCAAACTATGTCAACTCTTTGTGTTTTCAGTTGAACTTTGGTCACTCGAGTGACCTAACCTACACGGTGACTAGGCATGCGTGCTAAAATAATAAATATTCAATTGCCCTAGGATTTACTGTTAGGGATCCCGTGTGACACTCCGACCGACCCAAGCAAGCAGGTCCCTGAAACCTACTGATCCATATGCAACTTTACAAGTTAAACTACCGGTCTGGTGAGCTCCCCGTAGTGGTGTTCAATCTTACTACTCGGACCACACCGTCGTTACCGGGGGTCACATCTACAATGCGGCCCAATCGCCTAGTCATGGATGGACTTTGATCTTTGACCACAACCATATCACCACAGTGCAAGTTGGGCACATCAACTGTCCACTTGGTTTGGACTTGAAGGGAACTCAGATACTCGATGGACCACCGGTGCCAAAAGGACTGGTGGCACTTGTGCAGTAATTTCCACCTGTCGACTTCCTTAGTACAACTCTCGGGTATTGACACGTCTGGAACTCCCAGCTACGGTTGACCGTTCAAGAAAGGTCCCGGTGTCAAGTAGTCCACGTCCATCGGAGATGATGACATCGGGGTTAACGGCCGTAAGTTCAATGTGGCACAGTACGGTGGTCATCTCTTCCCAACTAAAATTATGGACACCAACGAGTCGTGTCAAGAGGATTTTGAATGATCGTGCAGCAGCCTCCCACAGGCCACCGAATTGCGGTGCACTTGGTGGATTGAAGTGAAAGACTCAAGGAGAAAGGGAGGTTAACGCGTGTCGGATAGTCAGGTCGTTTACTAATGCACATAGGTATTTGGCTACCACGAAGTATGTGCCACAATTGGAGAATAAGTCCTGAGGCAAGCCGCGACGTACAACGAATCGGTCAAGGGCTGCCAAGAATGCATTAGTGGACAGCTCGGACACGACTTAGTCGCCATGCACACGAACACCGAAACTTAAATTTTATATTGTCGAGCCTTACGCAAACGACACTCACGCATGGACAGTGGCCCGCCGTAATCAATGCCGACCCGAGTGAATGGACGACATATTTGGACGCGGGAGATTGGTAAGTCTGTCATCACTGGGTTGGGGACTTTTTGCGAAGGTTTGTACGCAGATCGTGCATTGACCGATGACGCGGCGGATCAACGATACTATCTAAAATTGTCGTGTGATCAATGACGTAATTACAAGAGACCCAGAGTGACATGTTAAAAGGTGCCAATGTCGCGCGATTAGTACCAATAAGTGAGACTCCTTAGCCAACAAAATATTCGGTTTTTCGGCACTGGTCAGATTAGAACATGTCAAGCGTCCTCCGACACAGACAACGCTTCGTGCATCAACGAAAGGCCTCCAACCAGCCAATGACCGTTGAGCGGGGCAGCTGCTCGCTAAGTCCGCGAGCATAGACAACCAACATGTTTGAGACTGTTTAACCACGACGATGAATGGTTCTTCAAGTTCCTCACGTGTCAAATAATCTATTGTGCAAGTCTGTTGTCGGGATCGGCCTACAAAGCGACGCATCCAGGCAACGACTCTGACCATGTTATGACATGACGAAAATCGGCTATACCACTCGGCCTCAGGGAAAACTTGGACGGATTCAGAGAGAATTTTGGCTTCCAGTAGATGCTCAATAGACACCACCATAACCGACATATCCCAAGTTTCAACAGGGTCCTTCAAAAAGGCAGGACCCGACCAGTATACCTAGTGCTTAACCAAGTCTGAGTGCAACAAACCTCTACAGGCACAATCTGCCAGATTTTCGGCTGACCAGACGTAACCCCAGTGGCAGGACAGTAAAAATTGACAGACTAAATGCACTCGATTCGAGACAAAGACCTTGAAACAATTGTGAAAATTCAATCACGAGAGCACTATCTGAGAGTACGCGAGGGGAATTGTTCGACCACTTTTTTAGCTCAAGTGCAGAGCGGCCCAGGATAGCTATTAAATCTGACTGCACACTCGATAGTACCTAGTTCCTCGGTGTCTGCCCCCAAACAAATGTCATCCACGTAGGTCTGATATCTCAGTCCGTCCAGGACTTCTGGGAAGTCATTGCACTCGTTCTCAGCGATATCTTTCAATACGCATCGTGCCAAGAATGGGGCGCAATTAACTCCGTAAGTTACGGTGTTAAGTTGATATTCCTTTAATTCATCCAACGGTGACGATCGCCAAAATATATGTTGGAAGTACCGGTATTCCGAGCGCATGAGGATTTTCCGGTACATTTTGCAAATGCTGGCGGTGAACACAAATTTATGAAGATGGAATCTAGTTAAAATGTCCAGAATATCCAGCTGCAACTTCAGCCCGGTGTGAAAGCATTGGTCTAGCGAGAAGTGTGAGCTGGCCTTGGCGAAGGCGTCAAATGCCACTCGTATTTTGCTCGCCGAATTGAAGGCCGGGTGGTGGGGTATGTAATACGTCCCGACATCATCAGCGATAGTCATGTGTTACAATGACTCATAATCTGACATGAACTCTTTGTACGCGGTGTACAGCCTTCGTCGGCCTGGAGTTTCCGTTCCAGGTTCTGGAAACGGGGAATAGCGATTTGACGAGAACCAGAAAATACTTCGTCGCGATGAACGGCGTAGGAACTACATATCGTCCAGTGATGTCACGATACCGCTCGGCAATAGACAGCTTCACATTGGCCCTCGTCATCGGAGCTGTATCGGGTTCTTCCACTTCCAGAAACGATGGACCATGTCCTCAAGAGACACCGAAAGGGTGACAGCAACGTGAAACCGATAAGTATCAGGTTCCACCTCGGGAACAGGACCGATAACGATCCACCCAAAAATCAATCCATATGCCACAGGTAACGAGGAATCCAGTAGAACGCGTTTCCCATCCATAACTCGGGAAAATACCTCCTAAAATAACTTGACTGGAGCAGGGCAATCAAACTGCGGGTTAGCTAACGCCAAGTGGGAAAACTTGTTCAACTGTTGTGCTGGCATGTCACTGGTTATTTTAGGTAGGACACTCGAATTTAGATTGATGGAATGCTCGTCATTATACCTGGGCGTCATCAGGCTGTCAACTCGACCTTTCATCCGTAGAACTGCTGCACCGGACACGCCCGTCTACGGAACAGTCCACTTATTACACTTCAACCCCAACAGTTCGACACATGGAACTGCCATGATACTTATCTGCGATCCGGAATTGATTAAGGCACGTACGGGTTGCATGCATAAATACCGATCACGCACTTGAACCACAGCAGTCCCCAACAATGCGGTATGATGTTTCGATGAGCTGACGTGAAAGGTGCTTGTCGAGGCTGTAGGTTGTGTGTCCGTATCGTTGTCCTTATGGAGTAGGGTATGGTGGCGACCATGGCAACGGGCACATGGCTTGGATACTCTGCATTTTGTCGACCAATGGGTGGAGATGCGACACCGGAAGCACAGTCGTTTATCACGTGCCGAAAAAACGAGGTCACTCACTGACATTTTGGTGAACGTGTTGCACGACGTGGTGACGTGTTCCCCCGAGCAGAACAGACATGTTTACGGGGCAGTACCCATAGATTTTTGGACGAGCATCACGACCTTTAGCTTCCGGCCAACATAGTTTGACGGCACGGACTTTTCGTACGGCCCTGAGTTGGTGGAGGGACACTGGAGCTTGGTGAGAAGTTAAAGGCCTCTAACAGGCTCCCACGATCTTTGATGTAGCCAACCATATACAAAATAGATGGAAAATGATGTTTGTTTGCTGCTTCGAAACAATTCCGAGTGGAATACGACAAGCAGCGGGAAGCCAGAGAAAACAATATAAATTCGCCAAGGTTCTTACATGCAGCGTTTGTAACATCGCCACCTAGTTGGAGAATAGCCCAAGGAATTCTTTCAGCCCGCTCAGAGACTTCTGGGACTGTATTGGAGCTGACATCAATTTGTCGATAGTCAAAGAAGCCCACTGCCTAGGTTTATCAAACTGCTCGACCAGCGTGGCCCAAGCGAGATCGTAAGTTACCGAGATGGAACTAATGGCACTTAACGCGTCGCGACGGAGACAACCGAGCAAATAATAGAAGCGGTCGCTGTCAGTTAACTCCTCATCCAGCACGATTAGATCCGTAAAGCGGTCTCGGAACGCCGGCCAGCCACATAACTCGACACTGAAGGACGGCAGTGGGATTCCTGGGAGCCGAGAGCGTCGTGAAGGGCGACCGGAATGGATAGAATGGCGTGATCCCGATAAGTGACAGGAACTATGTGATAAGGCCCTGTTTCTGGGTAGGGGCGCAAATTCTTCCACTATAGCGTGGGTGTCAAAGTACAGCGTACGAACGTTTCCAACGTAATAGAATATTCTTAGGCCAAGTCTAAATCCAGCAACGCTTTCAAAACGGCCTCATTATGTTGAATTAATGTATCCCATAGAGATTCTAGGTCACCGGCTGCCGTTAATAATTTGGGCTTCAAATCGGGCGCATCCTTCACTCGAGACGCCATGACAGCTATGGCCTTCATACGATTCATCGGACTATCGCGATTCAGCACCACAGTAGTCTTAGCCCTCTGTAACACTCGAAGCTCCAAAGCCTCTTTCTCTGACCCGGTCATTCTCGCTCAAATAACCGAAGACGATAGGAAAAGATTCAATATAACAATAATTGCAGATGTACGACAACCTAAATCAGCACCTGACAAAACAACACCTGCGTGATGAACGGTATATGATAATATAATGCCTGGGAGGAAGAGACCAATCCGCCCACTACAACACTAATACTAACATGTAATGTATGTAGCCAATCGATCAATAATGATCGACAGGTAGGTCGCTAAACTACCTAATAGACAATAATGTTAATCACAGTACCTCTTTTATAATGAACTTGACGCATATACTAAGTTACAGCTTGGGCATCACTGCGGCTTAGGATCAAAACAATGTCACACTCGACCAGCAATCGAGTATACCCGTAGTTGCATACACCCAAAAACGCTTACAAACTTTAAATTGTGAATTAACGCTCTGCTACCAATGTTTTGGCACCGTCGGGCTCCTACGGAACCGACGCGGCGGTCAGCAAAGCGAATTGGATGACGAGAGTGTAGGGGGTTGAGGTAAGACCGTTAAGACCTAATATATATTATAATATATATAATGTTATTTTAAATTATATTATATTATTGTTATCTATACAAATATATTGTGAATTGGACTTTTTCCGTATTAATAAATAAATAAATAAATAAATAAATATATATATATATAGGTGAATATCACTGAACATGGTATGTATGGTATTTAGGACAGGTTTATGTAGCACGATCATATAATTTCAGAACTTTAAGAATATAACAATAAATGAGCTATCAGAGACGTCTCCCCGTATATATAAAGCGTAATACAGATAGTAACGCTAATACAATATTAAAAGTGGCATTCGGGGACTGCCGCGATAAAGCTATTGCATATTAAATAAATAAGAAGTTGATATAATTTTAAATTTTTTTATTATTCTATTTATTTAGGAATTTGTATCATAGAAACTATAGTTTATGTTTTTATTGCTTAATATATTATATTTTATATATATTATTATAAATATATAAAATTAATAATATATTATTATAATATATTATATATTTATATATATAAATTTATTTCTATAGCAAAACATAACAAAACCATTATATTTATAAGCGCTTGATGTTCATAGTCGTTGTTATTTAAAAATAAATATCTGTTATCAAAATTAAATTATAATTTAGCTATGCGTTGCTATGGTCACCAGGTTGCTATAGTATGTATAAATAAACAAAGTGGTCACGCTTTTTCGTTACGAAAAATTTTTTTTCAGTCACTACACCAGACCTGCGATAAAAGCTATGCAATAGCTTAATAATAATAATAATATCACGAACGATACCTAACGACGACAGCTGTAGCGCGGAGATGGGTGGCAGCGGCTGCATTGCCCGTGAAGTTGTTTGTATGCGGCGACCTTGACCGACATTCTATTCATGTCGACGGTGGCTGCACGAGCGGTGGCCAGTAGACCGGTCTATCAGAATCCGGTGACCCGTTATATTTATGATTCCGGCTGCGGCGACGGCGGCTCTGTACACTCACGAGTCCGGCGGAGGTAACGGCGGAGCGTTATATTTATGATTTCAAACGCACGGCAACGGACAAAGGCACACACAACGAGCCAAAGCTCGAATATAAGTAGAACGCACAGCAATTCACAGACAATGGGCTAGAGGATACGAGGACAAAAAAAACCTTGACCAACGAAGAAGACGACCCACAGTAGGCCAGATGTCATTCGCAAGCTCCGAGAAGCATTGACTATAGCGGACCTGTTGCCCGAGCGCACAGCTTGCGTCCAACGGCGGCAGCTCTTATCGGCGTTTGTACTTCGTACGCAAACGGCGCGCTCACCCGGTAGGCTGGTCAGGCTGGGTCTGCACTTAACAGCGCTGAATTTCGAACATTGTATAATATTATTCGTGGGTACTTGAAACTTCTAAAGTATACTATTATAATATACCTACCATAGTATCAGGGTTTGTTGTTGATGTATAACGAGTTATAAGACGTACTTAATGGATATTGTGATATCGATATTATTAATTTGGAATTTATTATAGGTAAATTTTTTTTAATACCATAGATAAGTATATAATATGTCTTATACCTAGACTGACATACCGTCTCCCCTCAAAATCGTTTTTCTTATAAAATTATATATATATTATATCATTGAATTCAAATTTAATACCATCCATTATACAGTGACCCACTTGTAACCTACTGTACAGCAGAGCAACTTTTTTTTTTAAATTTTTAAAACCATCAACTCCAAGGTTATTAGCCTGCATTACATTTTTTAAATTACATAAATTTCTTATTACTTATATATTTGTACATTTTAAATAACATGACGCAGTTCAGTTTCATTTATGAATTTGATTATTTTCTCTTACGTCTCGGGAGTGGGTAAAAGTATCTCGCATAGGATTTCCGGTAGTTCCAGTTGGATGTGGATTTCGTTGAGCTGGAGACATTCGAGGAGGATGTGCTTGACCGTAATTATTCTTCCACAAGTAGTGCATGAGGGAGGGTCTTCTTTGGCCATAAGGTAGTTTCCATACAGTTGTGGCCTATTCGTAGTTGAACAGATTTATTAATTTTTTTTAAAACTTTATGATTTATTAGAAGAAATTTGAAATTCAGCATTAAATGGGTTTTGGAAAATACGACATTATCAACAAATCTAAACGCTAATAATTCTAATAATTCTGCTTGCTTTTATGCAATGATTTTGTATATATTTTTACATCTATTAAATTGAGAAATTAAATGTCTGATAAAACCTTTAATGAAATGTGTACTTGCAATTTATATTTATCTAGACATGCGGTAGTGTGTCAAGCCAAGTTCTAGCTAACAGTACTGGCGAGCAGCACCGTGCAGGGGCGCATTAAGGGGGGGGACAAAAGGGGCATTTGCCCCGGGCGGAAGTTTTTTGGGGGCGGTACATTTTTTGTAATTTTTTTTTTTTTGTATCTCAGAGTCAAAAAGAAAACATACAAATTGTATGACATAATGGAAAACTCGCTTGTTTAAGAAACAACTAATAATAATTAGTATTATCATACTAATGTACTATTCTTTTGTACTTATTTTTCTTGGGAAGAAACAAGAAAAAAAAAGGTGGGCAAGTGGGTGTCGCTCTGCTGTACAGTAGGTTATAAGTGGGTCACTGTATAATGGATGGTATTAAATTTGAATTCAATGATATAATATCATTGTATAAGAAAAACGATTCTGAGCGGTGACGGTATGTCAGTCTATGTATAAGACATATTATATACATATCTATGGTATTAAACAAAAAATTGACCTATAATAGGTACCTATAATAAATTCCAAATTAATCATATCACAATATCCATTAGATACTTATAACTTGTTATACATCAACAAAAACCGTGATACTATCATAGATATATAATAGTACACTTTAGAAGTTTCAAGTACCCACGAATAATATTATTCAATCACAACAAAATAACTAAAATAGTTATTCAAGGTTTTTTAATATGTAATTTCGTCCAAATTTGAATTTAAAATGTCTGTAAAAAATAAGTGTGTTCATGTATTTTTTAGATTTTTTGGTTATAGTATGAACTATTTATGAGAACCTTTGTGTTGAATTTGTAATCCTTAGCTATAAAAACTGAACATTTTATAATTTTTTAATTCCAACGATTGATAATTTTCGAGATTTTGATAAATTTTGTCAAAATTCCAATTTTAAATGCTTATAAAAAAAAATCGTGCATATGTATTTTTAATATTTTTCAACTGATATTGTAACAATATATCAGGAGCCTTGTATTAAATTTTTACACTTTTTGGCCCAACAGATAAAACTTTATTGATATTTATAGAAAAAAAAACTAAAAAAAATTGAGAGCTGTAAATGTCCATAAACAGCTCAAAAAGAGTCAAAATATTTTCAAAATTGTATGGTGTATAGAAAATGCTAATTTAAACATTCAGTGAAATTTTCATGTATCTACAGTTGTTCGTTTTTGAATTGCAACAAAATAAAGAAATCGCTACATGAGTAATCGAGTGAATATCCAATGTTGTAAAAATTTGAATTTCAAAAGCTCATAAAAATTTAATTTGACTGTCCGGTAGAGATTTTTTTATTGATAAAGGTAGATAATCTTATAAGGAATCTTGTGTTTCATTTTCAAATCTTAGATTTAAAAAGAAAAATTTTTACGAATTCTTAGCTCAAAATAATTTGCTAATTTTCGTGATTTTTCCATATTTTGTCAATTTTTGAACTTTAAATGCTTATAAAAAAAAATTGTGACTAAGGATTTTTAATATTTTTCATCTGCCTTTGAAACAATATATTAAGAGCCTTCTATTAAATTTTCAAGCTTTCGCAACCAACAAATAAAATTTTATTGATATTTTTAGAAAAAAAATTAAAAAAAAATGGAAAATGAAAATTTCCCTAAACAGTTCAAAATAAATCAAAATATTTTGAAAATGTTATCGTGTATAGAAAATGCAAATATAAACAACCAGTGAACATTTCATGTATATACGTTCATTTGTTTTAGAGTTACACCAATAACCAAAATCGATTTTTTGGAAAACCAATTTTGCGTAAAAATTCCCGTTTTTCCTTAATTTTTATGTTTTTTTTCCCGGCGCTTGTGAAAACTACTGGGAAATTTATACTTTTGACCCCCCAAAGTACCAACTAGATTTACTTTCCTATCAGAAAAGCTACTGATGAAGAAAATCCAAGCACTTTTACTGTCCTAAAACGTGATGACAGACACAAAAAAAAAAAAAAATATAAAAATATAAAAACATACATCATTGTAAAACCAATACATTCATCGCTCCGCTCAGAATCTAAAAAGAACAGCATTTTACAATGATTCTAATTTTAATAGTACTGTTCACATTGGAAAAAATAAAATGAAGAATGATATTTTTTATGTGATCATTGATACATTATGTTCAAATTTAAATGAACGAAAGGCAGCCTATCTAGTTATTAATAAAAACTTTA